ATATATATTATAATCAAATGTAATAAAACTTTAAAACATAAACATCTTGAATTTGTATACAATACAATACGAAGAAACTTTTTCCCCAGTCTTATATACTAACTAAAGGTGTAACAAAATAGTACTTAATAACTTAGGGAATGATTCTGCCCGTCAACGTGAATATTTTTTATTATGGGATCATCTTCAAAATTTTCAATTTATACGTGATAGACCCATACTACAGCTATATTACTGGTATAGTTGTAGCACGAATGGGTCAGCTCGACCGGAGACGGACCACGCTCTCACAGAATATCAGTGTAAAATAGGAGCTTAACGCTACTGTGTTTCCTATGGTGAGTGTAGAGAACCGGAGACCCTTTTTACTGGAAACGAGGCATTCCATCTTAGTCCTCAGGGGTTGCAACGCATCTGCATTTTAATTCTTAACCGAGGATAGATGTATATGTCTATGGGCCACAGCAACCACTTACGAGGGTGTACAACCCGAGTGTCGATTGTTTAACGGTTCGCTCTCTATTGGATTCGGGTTCACAACACGGTGTGGCCTCCACTTGGTTGTTGGGAAGACTAGGGCTCCCCTGGAGCGTTGAATCACGCTTTCAATGACTATTAGATTTGGTTTTGGTCGAGCACTTAATTAATAATGCTTTGAATTAAAAATAGAAATGCTTTGGGTTTTCCGCGAAATGTTTCATGGTTGTGGCGGTTATGAGTAAGAGGGCGAATTTGATGTGCTCTTTGAATGCGTGCGTGTGCATATGTTTTTGTAAATGTATTTGATCATTGTGTTTGCTTTGTTCAAAAGAAAATTGAAATTGAATAACACTTTTTTTGCCGAATGGAATAAGAATCAATCCTCTCTTTGTTTTCTAATTTTTGTTGGCACTGTCGAAGATATTTATTTGGAAAGAGAAATAGGGCTGTCTTTTACGTTTATCGTTTTGTTTAATTCATCTGTTTGATCTATGCGCATCAGTAAATTAATTTGTTTGAATAATTCAGTGGTTTGAGTATTGATGCTTTTGAAACTTGGTTGAAATATAAGCATAGGACTACATGTCTAAAAGGCTAGCTAGTTGAGAGATTATCAGATTGAAATCAGCTGCCGCACAATTGAGTAAATGATTATATTGTAGATGGCTTGGTTATGCCTACTTGCGTGAAAAATCATACTAAGGACTATCTGTGCGTTTCGTGTGCCTCTCCATAGACGTCGTTCATGTGGAACTTGTAAGTGCCCTTAGCACTGAAGCTTTTGTGGCCATGCTGGGCCGTTTCGTATCGCGTCGCGTTTTGCAGACCTGATCCGGTCGGATTGTGGAACGAATCATAGGGGCACAGATAGGTGTTTGAAAGAGGTCGTCGGACTTCTGTTCAGAACAGGACTTATTTTGGTGCTGCGATGTCCAAGAAGGGCATCCAGTGGAGTTTCATCACTCCATCTAGTGGGGGGTCGCCCTACACTTCGCCTACCGGTACGAGGCTGCCACTCGAAAACTTTTTTTCCCCATCAGTGTTTTGCAAGGAAGAAATTCAGTAGCGTTGCGATTCATTTGGTTTAAAATATTAAATATCATTTAATTTCCACATACATATATTAAAACAAACGGCCTTTATTTATGAACAAGTTTCATTACGAAGGTATAGTAAATTAAATTAAATATCTAAGTTGATATTTATAGATCTTAGTAAATATTTATAGAAATGTCATTATTTTAGTCATATTTTACTTAATTAATGGATGCCACTTAAATTGAGGAAATTCATGAATATAGTAAAATGCATTGTCAGTTAAAACTTTTAGTAGCTTAATTTTAAAACAATCCAGTTCTTGGTGGTTTCGTATGCCCTTAGGAAATTTGTTGGAAAACTTTGGTGCCATAATAAAAAATGGGCTGTTTTATATTAGCTCAGCCACACTATGCTCCTCGCGCTGCTCCCCGCTCTGCTCCTCGCGCTGCCGCGATGTTGCCCTATCTGCCCAAAAACTGCTCTACTCACACCATTAATCGCAACGTTTCGCACTGGGTTACTCGCGTTTCCAACACAATGGATGTTGAAACTGCGGCAGCGTGCGTGCTATATGCATATTTAGTATAGCTAATTATGACAATGTCATAGAAATAAACATACGTCGTCATCCTCGCCAACAGAGAGGGTGGATGATATGAATAGATGATTCATCACATTAGAACGAAGTTCGCGCGAGTATATGGCCGGTCACTCGCGCTTGTTAAGGATCGCCTAGTTAAAATCTACTACTCAGCCTGTAGATATATGCTTTGTCAGCACATCGCATAGCATAGCAACAAGTTGAAGAGGTTGACTTCGCATTTCCTTTACATGTGTATAAATATTGCAAATACATAATGAAATGTTCTAGAATAAATTATGACATACATGAGAATAAGTTATATGACACTTTTTGTTTCCTGTTGTTTCAAACTAACTTTAGAAATTATATTGAATATTGCAAAATACATCATAAGATTCTCTAGAACAAATTGCTGACGTTCATGAGAATAAGTTTTGTTCCCAGTTTTTTCCAACTATACCGGGTGTTAGTGAAACGCTCCCGAAAACTTTTATATATTTTGTTTGAAAATTTCACTATTTTAATTTACGGGTTTTAATTTAATATTTTATTTTTCTACACTTCTATGGACTAGTATTACTTGTGGTTTCATTTATTGCATATATGTGGATTCCTTACTGTATGAGAAGCACCAGCTTTCAAAAGAATCATCAAAATCGGTTCACCTAGAAAAAATTCTGAGGTTAACACACATAAAAAATACAGTCGCATTGGGAACTTGGATTTTGTGTCAATGTGCTACGCAAGTTAACTATTAGTGAGAACGATGTAACAAGTAGTGCTTCGATAGTAACAAAATTCTCAGGACTTTTTATCCATTTGAGGACTTGAGATATTATCATAATCAACTGTCCGCTGGGTTAAGTAAGCTGTTGCCGAAATCTTTCTAAAATTTCACAAGGTGACGCATCGGCAAATTGTGAAGGGTATTGAGAACGAATTGCAAATCAAATTAGGCTGTATAGTCTAAGACTTTTACCTGTCTTAACTGGTGAAATGTAACAACAACAAAAACTAATTTCACGTTCCAATCTTCGGTTCTGCGCACATTTAGCTAATTATTTTTGTCACATGCCGGAGCTACTATTATTAAGTAACAATTAATTAGAAAGTAAAGATAAAATATTACTATAATTTTAAAAATATAGATTACCTTTTTACATAGATGCATATTTAAAGAATATCGAAAATTTTTACAGTAAATTCAACATAATAATTTTAAGAACTTTATGCATTCTTGAAAAGGAACTACGATTATTTAAAAAGTTGATGCAAACAAACGGTCGCAAACCTAGATAAATATATATGGTCGCAAATCGCAACAATTCAAATAAATCAATTATCTTCATGCAATTCGTTCAATATGTATTGTAATTTACTACTATTGTTTGAATTAATAAAATAACTAATTATTGATATTAGCACATCAATTGAATGGAACGTTATATATGGACAGTGGATAAGGCTAAATAAAAGTCAAAGACTACAAAGTTTATTTAGAATAGAATTCGAGTAAGTATTTAAAATTGCTGGCGTCATCTTTTTAATACCACCTAAGACAGAATAACGAATAGTAACGAGTGAAACGATATTAAAATTTGTTACCATGCAGTTGTTACTTTTCTTTGAAGTAAAATAAGTGAAAGTGAAATCATGGGTGCCAGTGATGTTATTTGTGATACCTACTGTGTTAAGAGAATTTGTTATATAATGGTGGCGGCCTATACATTAATTAAGTTGTAATTCTTAGTTGCCAATATATTTTTATGTTTAGTAAACCAAATTTCAAACAGTAGCGTATTTCTGTATTTACTTCTTCTTCAACATCAGTCAGTAAAAATCCACCCCTGAGCCAGTTGTTGGCAGGTTGCTGCATCTAGGGTGCAAGGCATTATGTGTAGTTAAAATCGTCTCAATCAAACTATGGACTATGTCCCGATTTAAAAAAAATCATGACATCATGTGCCATTAAACACTTGAGGAACAAAGAATATTCCTCCTTTAAGAGGCCTTTGGCTGGGCAAGGAAAAGAGGAGGAGGAGATTTCTCGCCGGGCAAGATGTTCTGTGTGGGAAGTGGCCAACACTCCTAGTGGTAGTTCAGAGCTATTCTACACTAGCTGTTCCTCGCGACTTCGCCCTCGTGTTATTTGGGGTTTTAATTTTTTTGAGCGGTACCCTGAATCTTTTTCTAAAATAAAAGTAGCCTAAGTTACACTCTGTGACAGCTATCTACCAGTAAAAATCCCGTCAAAATTGGTCCAGCCGTTTTGGAGATTAGCCGAAACAAACAGACAGACAGACATACAGACAAAAACTTTAAAAATTGTATTTTTGTTATTAGTACCATATATACTTTCATATGCGTTTAGTAATAAGCTGTAATTTTGACATTAGAAATAGATACTTCAATATTAGTTTTTGTATAGATATACTGCTTTTACTTTGGAACTTTGATATTGCGATTAAGGCTTTGATGTTTTTCACTTGTGACGCGACGACAGCACTACCACAGGCCTCTAGAAGTCCATGTGTACAGTATATGGGCCCCTCCCTATGTATGGAAAATTTTACTTAATTGTCACATTTGGCAAGTAGATTGACTGTCTCCACACCATCTGTTTCACATTTAACACTACTGCCTATCGCCCGTCTGTGCAATTTACTGATATAATTGAGATTGTGACACCCCTATAATCTGGAAGCCTTACCATTTTACTAGCTTTTCCCTAGTCACCTCTTACCACACCAGCAATATGGAATTTTGTTGGTGCAGTATGCTGCGATCACATAGCATAAACATTTGGAATTACTATTTTCTTATTTTTATTTAAATAATAGAATAACATGGAAAGTATATAATATAATATAATTCTATTTGTTTCAGTCTATAAAAAAATATGCCAAGTACAAGAATACCATCCCCTGCTCGCTCTGAGGGTGTTATAACTACACCAAGAAAACATAGGTTTCGAGGCTCTCGTAGTATTGGATCTCCAGCTAGGTCTAACACCTCAGTTAAACTTTCATCTATAGTACAAGAGTATAAAATGAACGCATTTGTAATATCTCCTCTCGGAAGTAGGAGATCTGTGTTATCTGACAATACGGATATTGAAGCTCCAGGACGTAAGTATTTTTCTTCTTTCTATTCCAGTGATATACTTTATATGTAAAGTACACTTTATGCCACAAGTCCTGGATTCAATAAGTGACAGAAGCCAATTAGTACAAAAACTCAGATTGGAAGTTTTCAGATGATATCATACAATTATTCATATATTAATTTATGAATTCATCACATTCATTTATTATAGTCAAATAAAACTAAATTTTATTTAGTAAAGCCATGCTGCAGCTATATTATGGTTGTAGTAGCATGAATATGAGTAAAATAGTAGCTCAATGCTGCTGTGTTTCGTATGTTGAGTAGAGATCCAGAGATACTTTATATTGGAAATGAGGCATTTCATCTTAGTCCTCAGGGGTGACAATGCATATCTTACATAACATATAAACACTCGTGCCTGTCACCCCGAGGGGTAGGCAGAGACTACGGACTTCTATTTGGCACGATCCTGACCCTCCTCTCTCGCCTCCTCCACATCATATATTTACGCATACATGCTCGTAGGTTAAGGGTATTCGTAATTTGACCCATTTTCAATATATTACAACAATTTGGTCGATAAACTTTCGCCTAGGGCGTCCCTTCCCGACTCTGCTGTTCACTTCTGCAAGGTAAATTTGCTTTGTCACTCTTTCCTCGTTCATTCTTTCTACATGACCAAAGCACCAAAATATTACTTTATTAATCCTGGTCATGTGATAGAGCCATGCTGCAACTATATTTTAGTAATATAGTTGTAGCACGAATGGGTAGGCTCGACCGGGGAACGACCACACTCTCACAGAATACCAGCGTTGTTTGTGTTTCATATGGTGAGTGTAGAGAACAGGAGATCCCTTTTACTGACAACACATCTGCATTTTGCTTCACAAACTATGAGATGTAGATGTCTATGGGCCACAGCAAGCACTTACCATCAGGTGGACTGTGTGCTTGTTTGTCACCCTAACCTATAAAAAAAGAAAAAGCGACATCATCTGGCAAACCAAACTGTTCTCTTATCACACAATTTCTCACCCTTTCATTCAGATTCACCCCTAGCATACTTCTTAACAACCGTATTTCTACAGCATTTATTCCACTCTTGTGCTTCTTCTGCCTCACCCAACTTTCACTACCCTACATTAAAGTAGGGACTAACAATGCATTGTGAATTGCCATACATGCCTTTTTGGACACATTCTGACTTTCCACAATAGAATGTCAATAGGGTGACAATGCATCTGCATTTTGATTTTTAATTGAGGATAGATGTACATGGCTATGAGCCAAAACATCCACTTACTTGGGTGTACTGTGTGCTTGTTTTGTCACTCTTATTTTTTTTAAAACAATAGCTGAACATGGTCATCCTCCATAAATTGCATCTTAGGGACAATAATTGCCATAATTGCTTTACATGGCAGGCAGATTGGCAACTGCAATTTTTTTGATTATTTCAAGATGGAATCATTTAGATTGGATCTTTAAGATGATATAGCTATCCCCCTGATTTGGCTTCCTTCTGTCTGTTTTACAGTATTCACAGGATGATATGGGATAGTGGATTATTTGAAACCGTCACTCTTTATTTATTTATATTCTTGCTGTTCCCTGCAACTTCGTTCGCTTGGAATTTATTATGTGGGGATTTCATGGGTTTTATTTTCATTGTTTTGTGCGGAACCCTAATTTTTTTTTTTTTTGAAAATAAAAGTAGCCTTAGTTATTCCATATAACATCAGCTATCTGCCAGTGAAAGTCCTGTTAAAATGTGTCCAGCCATTTTGGAGATTTGCTGGAACAAACAGACAGACACAGACAGGCAAAAATTTTAAAAATTGGTTTTTGTTATAAGTACTGTATATAATTTTGATGTGCATTTAGTAAAAAGCTGTAATTTTGATATTACAAACAGACACTTCAATTTTATTTTTTTGGTATAGATGATAAGATAAACTGGAAAGATTAAATTTGTAAATAATTTTCATAATAAAGTAACTTACGTTTAAAACTTTGAGGCTTAGTTATGCAGTGTTGTGAGATCATAATACATGAGATATATCAAGAATGGGGGTAACTTTTCAACAAAAAAATCCTATTTCAAAATATTGTTTCAACTTAAAAATCTCATTATTTCCCTTTAACATATAACATGTACCATAATTGATTAATTAGTGGTAAAACAAGTTATATAATGTGTACATTATACTGTAAACAATATGTAACAGTACACATTATATACTTTAGTATTTGTTAGTTTGTTTATGCATTAATAAATTCACAGATCATAGCCATCTAGAATACAATTTCAAATTCTTTTGAATTGATAAGTAATTTATCTTTTAAACTGTGTAGGTAAAAGTTGGTGGAAGAGGCTTGAGGAGAACTCGGTGGATGTTATGGAAGTTATAGAAAACAAACAAATAGACCAAGATGAAAATGTAGAGGAATATATTGATGCTGATATTTTAAGGTATTAGTATAAAAATATTTAAACTACAAGCTTGGCAAATTCTCAATTATTACTTACTAGCTGTTCCCCGCGACGTCGCCCGCGTTTTAATTTTTTGCGCGAAACCCTAAAAAAAGTAGCCTAAATTACTCCTTATAACATCAGCTATCTGCCAGTGAAAGTCCCATCCAAATCGGTTCACAGGTTTTTGCGTGACGCGCGTTCAGACAGACGTATTGTTTTTTTTTTACTTACTTAACATTTATTGTTATATTTTGGCTAATTTACACACTATTTATATGAATTATAGCTTATGTGTTATTCTTATTTATGAGCTATATAATTGTAAAGTTTAATTAAAATCCATTTAGTAGTTTTTGTGTGAAAGAGTAACAAACATCTATACATCCTCACAAACTTTCATGTTTATAATATTAGTAGGATTAGTAGGATAAGCTGCAGCCACTTTATTTTCTGACTAGCTGTGCCCCGCGATTTCACCCGCGTGTTTCACGCGTCTAAGCCTTGCGGCACGCAAACTTCAAAAGAGACATCAGATCTGGTTGCTGAATTAACAAAGATTTAAAAAGTGAAATATGTTACTAAAATTACATGGTTAACGTAATTGGTGGTTATGCATGGTACAGGTACTGATACGAAAAATGTGGCCTAGTTTGTACCGCCGTTACAATTTCATATTTTAACATGAAAAAGTAGTTATTGTGACATAACTGTTATAGTTAAACATATGGTATTGCAGGCTTTTTTGTAGATATTGATATCCTCTATAAAACTGAAGTACATTACTTTGCTCTATCATCAATAGTTTCCGCAGCGTACGCGATATAAGGATTCCTTTTGGTATTTTTTCACACCTTGGGGTTAAATTAACGAAGTTTTCATACTGATCCCTAACTTTTTTGAAAACATTATATAGCCTATGTTCATCAGGGATAATGTAGGATTCTAATGGTGAAAGAATTTTTCAAATTGGTCCAGTAGTTTCGGAGCCTATTCAATTCAAACAAACAAACAAACAAACAAATCTTTTCTCTTTATAATATTAATATATTATATTAATATTATATTATTATTTCGGAAAGTGTTTTTCACTTCTCAGTCCTTGGACTGGAATTGAACTACATTTACGGGCCGAAACCAAAGCAAATGCAGCGTGAGGTGTGTATACTCGTATTTATGTATTTTCATGAGGTCCTATTTCGTTTACTTCTATTTGCATGAATTTCCTGACAATTCTGCATGTATTTAATATAGCAGCTTTTTGCAGTGTTATGTAGAGGGTTTCCTTTAGGTCTAATAGTGTCAAGCTATGGAGGAGATGATTTGGTATTACGCCTGTTGTGGAGAGGACTATAGGAACCACATATACTTTTTCTTGTCGCCAGATTCTAGTCACTTCATCTTTGAGCTCCGCGTACTTACAAATTTTTTCTGTGATTGTCTTCTGTATGTTGTGTGTGTTGGGAACTGCAATGTCTATCAGGTACGTAATTTTATTTATTTTGTCTTGTAGGATTATATCTGGTCTGTTATAATGGATTGTCTTGTCAGTAAGAATGGCGCGGTCGTACAAGAGTTTATGTGTAGTATTTTCTAGGGTAAATTTGGGTGTATAATTGTAGTAAGGAGTGTTGGTATTTTTAATGAGTGCGTGTTTGAGTGCTAGTTTTTAGTGAATGACATTGGCCACCTGGTTGTGCCTGTGGGTGTAGTCGGTCTGCGTCAGAGTTGTGCATGCGCCTGTTATGTGTTGGATGGTTTCTAGGTGGATGTGGCATTTGTGATATTTGTCATTAATTACTGTAGGATCTTTTATTATGTATTTCCTGTAGTTTTTTGTGTTTATGATTTGGTCTTGAATAGCTATTATAAATCCTTCGGTTTCCAGAAATAAGTTGCCTATTTTCAGCCATTTATTTGAAGCTAACTTATTTATGTGTGGTTGCTCCAAGTCATGAGGGTGCCGACCGTGGAGTACTTTCCTCTTCCAATCCTCAATTTTTTGTGTCTGCTGGTTATCAATGGTAGTGTTTTGGGTTTCTATTTGATTGCTAAGGTTAAGTGGAGTGTAGTTAATATCATTTGTTACTATGGCTTTATGTATATTACTAGTGTGGGACTTTGTGTAGAAGAACGATTTTAGTCGTTAACTTGTTTCTGCCTTAGGTGCTGAATATCTATTAGACCTCTCCCTCCAAGTTCCCGTTTTATGGTTAATCTTTCTATGGCGGACTTAGGGTGCAGGTTGTTATGTTTCGTAAGTGTTGTTCGTGTAGTACGTTCTAATTGTTCTGTGTCAGTTTTGGACCATTTTATAACCCCGAATGAGTACGTTAATACGGGAATGGCGAAGGTGTTTATGGCTTTGATGAGATGTTTACCTGAAAGCTGCTTTTTACAAACGGCGTTAAGTCTTCTCTTGTATTCCGTAGTTAGTGTATTTTTTATTCGTACGTGGTCAAGACCTTTAAGTTGTACATACCCTAAATATTTATACAAGCAGTCGGTTCCATTGCTGTAATAACATCCGTGTCATTCACTATATAGTCGCCGGGCCTTACTTTGCCTCTTACGGTGTGAAGTGTTTTACATTTATCCAAACCAAATTGCATATTAATATTGTTACTAAATTCTGCTGTAATATCTACTAATTTCTTCATATCTTTTTCTGTTTTCGCGTATAATTTGATGTCGTCGTATATAAAATGCGATATTGTTGTTTCGTCTGTATTATTTTTTAGACTATATCCTGCCTTACAGCTCTGCAGCAAATGAGACAGAGGATTTAGGGCGAGACAGAACCACAGTGGGCTTAGAAAGTCGCCTTGGTAGATGCCTTTTTTGATGGAAATATGTCGTGTTGTATTATTATAATTATAATAATATAATATAATAATAATAATTAATATTAGTGTAGATTTGAAATAATGTCTATATACTGTCAATATTGAATAAAAAATTATTCTATTCTATTCTAATGCCTGCATAATATATAAAACAAGCAAATTTCAATGCTTGTACTATATGCAAATCATTAGTTTTTGATTTCTTGTCTAATTACCATTACAGTCTATAAGTCTACTGCAGAACATAGAATAGAATAGAATAATTTTTTATTCAATATACATTACATGTGTAATTCTTATTGAAAGTCATTTTTTACTTTACCACTGGTTCGAAGAAAAAAACCCTCTGTCCTGGGACGAACCAGCAAGAAACCCAGCGGGACTTTTTATAAAAATAAATTTTACAATAATATAAATGATTACGAACTATTTACAAAATTTATTTTAGAAACTGCTTGGAAGCGACCACCTCATTCCCAGGGGTTATTATCAAACCATGTATTCATTTATACTATAATAACCCTTTTTATACAGTTTCAGCTTAATAAAACATTTAAACTTGGTAATAGAGAGAACCTGTACACTTTCCGGGACCTTGTTGTAATAGACCTTATTGTTTTTTTTTTTAGGGGAGGGGGCAAACGAGCATGCGGCTCACCTGATGGTAAGTGACTACCGCCGCCTATGAACAACTGCAACACCAGGGAGGGAATTGCAGATGCGTTGCCGGCCTCTTAAAAGGAGTACGCTCTTTTCTTGAAGGTCCCTATGTCGTATCGGTCGGGAAAAATCGCTGATGGTAATCGAGCGCCTGCCCAGAGATGGGAACAGTATTCCATGTGAGGCCGAACCTGCGCCTTGTAAAGTTGCAGACGGTGTGCCGGCATGAAATACTGTCCCGCTTTGCTAAGCACGCCAAGCTTTTTAGAGGCCAATTTGGCCTTCTCTTCCAAGTGACCACGAAACTGCACGTCACTCGATATGTCGACTCCGAGGATACCGATACTGACTGAGGCAAGAAGGGGAGTGCCTTGAAACTGAGGAGATGCGACAAAGGGGTTCTTTTTAACGGTAAACGCGCAAACTTGTGTCTTCTGAGGATTAGACTGGACTAGATTTAGTTGCCCCCAATCCGAGACTTTGTTCAGCAAAGACTCGACTTCAGATACAAGTTTGTTCCGATACTCGGTGACGTTTTCCCGAGAAATATTGGCACGACCGGTGTATAGAGCATCACCAGTGCTGTCATCCGCATAGCAATGAATGTTACCAGTTAGCAACATATCATTGATATGCAGAAGAAACAGCGTTGATGATAGCACACATTCATCGAGAACACATCGAGAACCTTTCATCCCCATCAGTTGTCGGTTCTTCGTTCTATATCGCCGGCCCATTGCCACTTCAGCTTACTAATCTGTTGGGCTATGTCGGTTTCTCTGGTTCTACTACGGTATCCTCATTTCCACGTTTATCACGCAGAGAAACTCCGAGTATAGCTCTCTCCATAGCTTGCTGAGCGACATTGAGCTTCCTCATACGGCCAGCAGTAAAGGACCACGTCTCAGATCCATAAGTCATCACTGGCAAGATGCACTGGTTGTACAATCTTGTTTTCAAATATTGAGGTATACCTGACGAGATGTGTTGTAATCTCCTGAACGCTGATCAGCCGAGTTGAATCCGTCGATTGACCTCGATCGAAGTTGAATTTACCTAGTCGACCTATTTGTCCCAGGTAAACATATTCGTCAACAACTTCGAACTTAGTGCTCCCGACAACTACTGGCATAGGTGTGACCCATGTCACGTCCATACGTTACACATGTTCTTTGTTTTGTCCATGTTCATCTCAAGACCTATCCGTTGGGAGGCACTATTGAAGTGAGCATGTTGCTTAGGTTCTCTAGTGATTCTGCCATAAAGATATTTATATTATATAGTCGACACATCGCAGGTGAGTGATGTACTCGTCATTGATATTAATACCGTGTCATTTCCAGTCCAGTAGCTTTAAAACATCTTCCCATGCAGCTGTGAAGAGTTTGGGGGACATAACGTCACCCTGTCTTGTAAGACCTCTGTGTACCTCTCTGCAGTTGCATAGGTTTCGTACTCTGGTTCTGTACTTGGATAGCCATCGTCAGAATCTCCGCTATACATCCTCGCCCGGAGCCTTGCCGTTTTTATCAGAGAGCCATTCCAATCTCACTCAGACTGACGTCCGGGATGTCATCGGAATTCTTTTTTTTTATAGTATAAGGGTGACAAACGAGCACACAGTCCACCTGATGGTAAGTGGTTGCTGCGGCCCATAGACATCTACATCTATCCTCTGTTACAAATCAAAATGTAGATGCGTTGTCACCCGTGAGGACTAAGATGGAATGCCTCATTTTCAGTAAAAAGGGCCTCCGGCCACCTGCACTCACCAAGCGAAACGCAGAGGTAAACCTCTACTTCACGCTGGTTTTCTGTGATTCTTCATTAAATGTGACTTCTCCAACTTTAGGTTCAGTGTGCCTCTTACCATTCGGTGATCGCTGTCAGTTTACACCCTCGCGACCACAGAGACATCATTGAACAGTTGCTGTCTAGTCGTCATAATGAAGTCAATCTCATTTTTGTCGGGCCGTCGGGGCTTGACTAGTTCCACTTTCTGTGGGGCCGCTTCTGGAAGAAAGAGTTCATGATAAAGTCCTTCTTTGTCCCCTATCCTATGCCCCTGACTCCTTAGGTTCCGTTCCGCTATTCCGAATTTCTCTACCTTCAGCTCACCGATCTCTCTTGTGCCTAGTTTTACGTTGAAGTCTCCCATTAACACCGTATAATGGGTTTTGGAGGAATGCATGGCTCTAGAGATATCCTCATACATTTCCTCCATCTCCTCATCGGGATGTGCCGAGTTTGGTGCGTAAACCTGTAGGACCTTCAGCGAATACCGTTTGGTGGTTCTGAGTATAAGGTACGCAACCCACGTCTTTTTTTTTTATTTATTTATTCATAGAAAGAGTGTTACATAATTTACATTTCAAACTTTGCCAAACTGTATGCCAGTTTGTCGGCAACGCAACAGTTTATCGTTTCACACTCCTATATAACAATATAAGTTACTTATAAATACTTAAATTAACACACACATAATTAAAGAAACACTCACTACTAAGGACACAACGACAGGTAATGTTTCCTCAAGATTGTTTTGAGCTGCGAATTAGTTATGTTTTCGTCATAAATACCAGCAACCTCATTACACAAGGTCGGAGTTATCCATTGTCTTGTACGTCGTCCAAAGTAATTTTCAACCCTAGGTATGAGATATTTCCTCCTTTGTGTAACTTGGCGCTTCGGCATTATATATGTCTTAGGTTTCTTAAATGTTACCATACCATGCTGTTCTAATATGATGATGGATTTTACTTTCTTATCTATGGGAAGAATTTTGCAAATTTTAAATAACATTTCATAATTTTTATCTATAGCATTTTTGGTTTTACGATCAACTAATATCTTTAAGAATCTTATTTGTATAGACTTTATTTTGTTAAGATAAGTTGGGAAAGTAAGTCCATATGCACTTAAGCCATATCCGATCGTTGCGTCTGCCAGGGCATAATACAGCATATACATGATTCCTCGGTTCACCACATATTTTATATGATTCAGTTTACCTAAAACTGCCCTAAGTCTGCCACACACTAATTCAACATGCGAGTCCCATGAGAAACGATTATCTATAACCAACCCTAAATATTTATAGTTCGTTACACATTGTAGCTTTTCGCAGCAGCAGAGAGAACCAAACAGATCAGTATGCAGGCAATCGTAAGTGTGACCTATAAGAGCTATATCTACAGTTTTTATAGAACGGTTATATAGTGATGATATTATCACTCCCAATCTTTACAATGTTATTAACGAGAGATTTGTGGACGATAGCTCCGATTCCTTCTTGGGACAGATGGTCGCTCTCCCGGTGATAGGACAAATTGCCGTAATAATGCCGTTACAATAATCCTATATCCCAGAGCAACTTGTTTATCTCTTTTTCCAGCTCCAGGATCTTCTCTTCTGTCCTCAGGGTGCGTGTGTTATATGTTTCCAGGTCGAGTCGTCTTAGGCAACCAAACCTCCACTGTAGATTATTTGCACCCCCGGCCCCGCCGTGACCATGGGTGGCCACCGCAGCCAGGAATAGTGGGGCTGCTGGGGACTGGGGGTCGTCTCTTTCTTTGTGGTCACAATACCTAATGATATGATTTAAGGTGTCGATTTTTCTCATTTTCATAAATTTGTTAGTTATAACTGGACTGATACCTACGAATTTTTTTGTTTTTCTCTGGGATGGTATGACACCCCCGTCCCCCCTTGGGCCCGTGCCCGCTTGACGTGGAGTTTCCGGACACGTTATATAAATTATCATATACCGTTATTGCAGTTTTTGAAGATATGAGTAAATAAGAGTACATAATACGAGTATTATCTACTTTTATTTAAAATTATCCCAAATTGAATGTGATTTATGGGCAATGATTCCAATTTTCCCTTAACACTTTTAACGGACTTAGGATCGTCATTATAAATAAAATGAAAAAAAAATATTTACTTATCAACGACGTAACCGATGACTCATTATTATGGCGTATTAAAAAATTGGAATAAACTATTTACAACTAAATTACGCAAGTAGTCCCAATAACTAATGGTACCTCAAATTTGAATCCGTTTTTCTCCATGCATAGACGAGCACTTTTAACTTCTGTGAATGCAGCAATAATTTTTCTGCGGTGGTCTTCATAACCTTGGACCTCTTTGACGTAAACAAGACTCTTTATTTCACCCCACAGAAAACAGTCTAACGGTGAAAGGTCCGGCATATATGCAGGCCATAGTATAGGGCCTCCATACGCAATCCACTAAATTTATAACCGAACGACCCTTACGAATGTGTACGTGCGTAGTATAATAGTAAGCGTTAGATATTTATGAATGACAATCAGTTACTACTTATTCTGAACCTTTTCTGCAAATTTGGCCCATATAGTCACATTATGTATGATGACGCTTTACAATACAAGACATTATTAAGCTATGATTTATTGTTCTCATATTGCCATAGTTGGCACGCTTGGCGAGCGGGTTGACAACTGCAGTGTTTTTATTGTTATTTTGATGTTATCAGAAAGCTGCTGTTGCTGCCTTCGTTTCCCTTTGTCGTCCCTTACGACACCCACGGAAAGATATGGGGTAGTGGATATTCTTACACCGCCACGGCACGGGCCAAATATATTTTGATTTTCATTTGGATGGTTATGTCGTTTTTACCCGTGTCGCCTAGATTTTGTTTAATGATTTTTAATTATATTTTTTAACATTTAAAATAGGTAAAAATTTTATTTTTACAGTCAGGAGAAAAAAAATTACACAGTCGATTTACCAGAAAGTAGTGATGCTGAATCAATAAGCAGCATTGTTATACCCCAAAGAAAACTTTTCACACAAAAAGATAGTCAATCAGTGAAAGTATTTGGCAAAATAATGGACAATAGCGAAAGCCTGGCACAACTCCATCGGAGCAAAATTAACTATGATAAAACTATTCATGTTGGTAAAAAAGATTTATTTAACAGGGGTACAAAGAAATGCAGCAAACCTGTATTCCCTGCCGCGCTGCTTAATGTATCTATCAACAGAACATTGCCTAATAAAACTAAAGAAATTGCAAATCAGGGCCAGGCACAAAATCTATTCGGAAACCGAGCAGGCGCTAAACGCAAGAATATATTTGCTGAATTTATTGTATCGGAAAGCGAAGATGAAATTCCTGATATTCAACCAAAAGTTTTTGGATTTTCCAAAATCAATGAACACAAGCAACAAAAAAAGTCAACCTCACATGAACCTCGAGAAACTTCACCTGCTTCTGATATAACTGATATAGAAATTGATGACTGGAAACTTTTACCATCATCTACAATGGTTGATAACCAATTTGGTAATATTGAAAGAAGCACTCCTGTGAAAAGAATTAGATTAAATAAGCTAAGTGAAGCTACAGAACTTGCAAAGGAATGTAGTAACAATTCAACCGACAAAACAAAACAATCAGCAAGGTTCAAAATTTCAAAATTCAGAAATGGCGAAGAATTTATTGAATCACCGTGCCCGGAACACCATAACAATTCCAAACAAAAGCATATTGAAAAAAATAATTCTAACATTAAAATGACAAATAATAATGAACTTAAGAATCAAGATAATATTAGGAAAGATGCTAGCAGTAGTAAAAGTTATACAGAGCAAAGTGATACGGATAAAATAGAATATAACCTAAGAATGAACAAAAATATGTCTAATGTTACAAAAATCCGTGATATTGTAGCTGAAGATTCGAAAAAAGATAAAGTTTCAGAAGAAATACAAAATGATGACGATGACTTCATTTTGCAATACGAAAATGATGACTTTAACCTAGACGAATCTGACCAAGAAAATGTAAATAATAAAAGTCTAAAACATCAACAACAAAGTAAAACCACCAATATAAATAATCAAAATGAGAAAAATACAACATTAGATAAAAATAAATCTCATCTAAAAGCTTCAGATAGTTCGCAAATACTTTCTAGTTCATTCCAATTGAAGTATGTTAATGATAAGTTAATAGAACAAATCAGTAGTGTTAAAAACGTTTCAAAAAATATTACATTAAACAAAAATGTAACTAATTATTCTGTCACCCGAGAAATAAATGATGATCTACAAAATACAGCTAATTGCAATATAAGAGATGAAAATCAAATTATTACTTTACCATTAACAGGTGAAGATATAAAAAAAGGACCAGCTACCCATGAACTGCATAATAATGAAAAAAAATTAACAACCTCCGAGGAGGTTCTAGTGGACAAAGATGAAAGTGATTTAGACAAAAACGTTGTTGTACAAAAACACAACAGAAGTAATGATAATAATAGCAGCGAGAATTATCCTTTTGATAAGCGGAATAATACAGAGAAAGTAAAAATAAATAATACAAATAAAACAGATCAAAGTCAAGAGAATGTGTATGAAAAAGTTGAAGTAAATAGAATTTCACAACAAGAAAAAAAAGATAATGTAAATGATAATAATTATGAATATGCTAAAAATGTTGCTGATTATCAAAAAGAAAATCAAGTAATTGACGATGAAGTTGATGAAGAAAAAAACAAAGATGAAAGGATTCAGGAAGGAAGTGACGAAGAGATTATGGAAGAAAATGATGAAGACGTTCAACAAGAAAATGAAATGATTCAAGACGAAAATGATGAAGATAATGAGGAAGAAAATGACGAAGAGTTTCAGGTAGAAAATGATGAAGATATTCAAGAAGAAAATGATGAAGAGGTTCAAGAGATTCATGAAGATACCTACGAAGATATTGAGATAGAAAATAACGAAGAGGTTCAGGACACAGAAGATGAGGATGAAGAGAATCTGAGTGAGGATAATCAAAAAGAAGAAGACGAAGAAATACAGACAGAAAATAATAAAAGCCGGGAAGACAATGAAAATGAAGACGATGATATTCACGAAGAAGACGATGGTACAAAACAAGAAGATAACGAGGCAAAAGATTTAAGACAAGAAGTACCAGAAAAGAGTATTCATGCAGACGCAGAAGATCAAAATGAGATAGAAAATAAAACTAATAATATTAACGAAGAAAACGAAGATCAGGAATTAATTGAACAGAATAGTTTTCAAGATCAAAATGAAACAGTAAATCGAGAAACGTTAAAAAATGATAAAAGTATTCATGGTGTGACTAAGCAGTCAAAGCTGGACTTAGAAACAAAAAATGAATTTATTAGAGGTAAAAATGATTTAGTTATAGAAGCAGACAATCATATTGAAGATTCTAATAATACAAAAGAAAATAACAAAACCCGACGTGTAACGCTACATACAACACACGATACGACTGGCAGAAACAGACACAGAATCGAATTAGGCGTGAAATCCCCAGAATACATTCGACATTACGTACCAAATGAAATGGAATCATTTTCGCCAAAAGGACACAACAAAAGCATTAGAAAAACTAAAAGCATAATTAAAATTCAACACGGAAAACCAAGTCTTGCACCACTAAGAGAAAGTACGGGAACTTCCGATGAAAGATCCAAAAATTCAAGTGTAGAAAGATCATGTTGGGACTCCCATAGAACTACAAGAAAGACTCTTCGTCAAACATTTGGTAAAGATTTTACACCAAGGAAATCTTTGCGTGCACTCGTTATGGAAAAGTCGGCGAAGAGACAAACCTATGGGCAGGATATGACTGTTAAAGTTCCTCTAGCGTGCTCTACTAAATTACCCGAGAACATGGATGTGGATATATCTGAAGATGACGATGACGGCGATAACGGTGAAATAAATGACATTCATGAAGAAATCAATGAACCGGAACAAACAAATGATGCAGAGGACACAGAAAATACAAAAGAAAATAACCAAGAAAATATGAGCTCTTACAAATCTCCTTCAATTGACGTATCAGAACAGGGATATTCATCTAATGCAGATATCCCACAACAGTCATCCGATATGCCCAATTATACCACTGAAGAATCGGATCATGAAATGTCTAGAATGAGGCGGCAAGCGACATTGGAAAAGTATTTACAGAAGATGAAAATAGAAAATTTGGAGAAGAGACGCCAAGCGGTGAGTATATAGTATATAGTCACATAAAACCTTAAGTTTTTATTAATACAAACTATTGCATTATAATGAAAGCTAGAAATGAAATTCTTCGCCATCGCTCTTAAAAGTTCGCTGCTGGACATGAACTTCTATTATAGGAGGGATTTGGTATAAATATCAAGTATGGCAGGCGGACTTCAGTACCAGACCATCTTGCATTTCGCATCTTACATCCCCTACGAGAAGAAATCGATTCTGCTGCAACACCTCTACATACCATTTTGGTGAATTTCAATAAAATTGTGCTGATTTATTTTTAAAGCACTTTTAACATGCAATATATTAGTCTGTATAAATTTATATATGTACGAATGTAATGGCTTTTTTTAATATAGTTGCTCAAAAAGTAGCTATTACATACTCGTGCTTTTTCTTTACCTTTTCCGAACTCGTGCGTTCTCTTTCCAACTGTCAAAATAATGTCTATTAAAAAGAAAAAACCAACCACGAAGTTTTTATTAAAAAAAATTCATGGAAGTTTTTATGATTCATGCAAATATTTCAAAAAAAAAGCTACTAATTTGTTTCAATATCAAATTTAATGATTTGATTCAATGAGTTAGGTTAGATTTCATTTCATCTCATTAATTAAATTGCTTCATTTTTTCGCAACTGTATTAAAAATAGTTGTACAGTACACGTGCGGAACCGTCATTGCAACTTGTTCCGACTGTCAACGCACACCTTCGGCTGCGCCTCGGCTCGGGTAGACATTTGTCGGAACTCTGCAATGACAGGCTTTCCGCACTCGTAATGAAATATACTATTGTAATTCAGTTTTCACCCACTTCTAAATATTAGATATTTAAGAACATATATCATCATCATTACAGCCTATCATAAGTCCACTGCTGAACATAGGCCTCCCCCAAGGAATGCCACAAAGCACGCACGCACAAGAAAATATATGTATATATAATTATAAGATATAAGTTTTAATTTACTCTTGAACATCTGAATAATATGAAATTTCGCAGATATATGAGGGGAAGTCAAAAAGTTCACGGAATGACAGGGAAGGATAATGAAATGAAACATTAAAGTATTTTTAATACATTTATTAGATCTGTCAAATAACTTACAATTACTGTCTAAAAAAAGATTTGTCTTGAGCGTCAAAATAGGCCGAAATTACCGACTTCACTTCATCATCGTCGCCAAATTTTTTCCCACGCAGTTCTTTCTTCATTTTTGGAAACAAATAATAGTCGCTTGGGGCCAGGTCTGGGCTGTAGTGGGTGGCGCAGTTGTTCAAAACCGCACCGGTGAATGGCAGCCGTCGCAACATGGCTTGTGTGCACGGGTGCATTGTCGTGCAAAAAAAGCACGCCTTTTGTAAGCTGTTTTCGCCTATTTTCTTTAATAGCTTCTTTTAATTGATCTAGTAAAGAAACGTAGTATTCTCCCGTTATGAAAATACCACGTTCCTTATAATCAATCAAAAGGTTACCTTCTTTATCCCAAAATATCGTAGCCATGATCTTTCCGGCCGATTGAGATACCTTATACTTCTTAGGATGGGGTGTGCCTTTTTTATGCCACCGCATCGACTGTTGCTTTAACTCAGGACCATAATGGTGAACCCATGTTTCATCGCCAGTTACAATTCGGGCCATAACTTTCTCCCTTTGCTGTCCACAGCGGTCCAAAAACTCGCGACAACTTTCGACGCCCTCGTGTTTTTGATGCGCAGAAAGCATTTTTGGAACCCATCTTGCACAGACTTTAGCATTTGCATGAGCGAAGGTGTCGAAGTAGGATGTTTGAAATAGTTGTTTCTGATACTTTAACTAATGCTGTAAGCTGTTTTTTCTTTAGCCGGGCATCTTCCGATACAAGTTTTTCAACTTTTTCGATTATTTCTGGCATGGTAGCCTCAATCGGCCGTCCAGGTCGGGGGTCGTCTTCTTTAAGTTTCTACCTTGTTTGTAAAGTGCGTGCCATTTATAAATCATGGTTTTCTCAGGAGCGGAGTCCCCATAAACAGCTCACATCTTTTGAAAAATGGTTTGAGGTGTCTTTTCTTGTTTGGGGAGAAACTTAATGACGGCACGATATTCAGTTTTCTCCATAGTGGCTAGTTCTTCTCAATTGACTTGCTTACTCGTTGTTGACCCGATTAAGCTGAAACTTGGTATATATATACTAACAATGAGTCACTCAACTACCTGGATGTGTAAACTCACCCTCGCCAACCCCGCCATTCCGTGAACTTATTGACCTCCCCTCGTATTAATATATATTAAGAACCAATGACAATACAATAATCACACGACTGTGACATAGGCCTCCCCTATAGATCACCTCATAGGATATATCAGGATGAAGCTTCCCTTTATTTCCCTCTTTCGGCTCTTACGACACCCACAGTACGATATGACGTAGTGAATATTATTACACTGCCAAAACACGGTACAATATTAAAAAATATTAGGTATTTACAATTTATATTTATCAAACATTACTCTATTTTATTTAAAATTTGTCTCTCAGGAAGAAGCAGTGAGAAATTCCCTTAAAGCAACTACAAAGGAATCCTTTAATTTCTTCAAAATGCCAGCCAGGCCAAATGCAGCTCTGCGTCGGATCAATATGAAAACTGGACAAACAAATTCAAAAGTTAAACAAATTAAATCTACCTTAATACCCATTGAAAATCTACCCGCAGAAATATTGGACGACATGAAGTACAAACCGCCTCGGAGATACCAGCCCAGTAACGCCTCTTGGATTACAAAGAGGCTATATAAGTTTCTTGAGGCTAAATTGGAACCCAAGTGAGTATTAAAAATAATTATTATTAGCAGTTGGGGATAGGATGGGAAAAATTCTGTTTTTATGTTTTTTTTTTTTCTTTTTTTTGATAAGAAAAAGTAAAGTATTCAAGTAAGAATACTTTACTTTTTTGTCAATTTCAAGTGGTGTCCAAATATAAATCACTATTAGAAATTTATAAAATATTGCAAAATGTCTTCCCATTGTTCCGGCATGGGTATTTTTTAATTCATCTAAGGTTGAAAGAGCTGTAGTCCCGGCCCCAATTTTTTCTTTGAACTCGACTCAGTTGTGCTCAATTGGGTTCAAGTTAGACGCTCTAACTAGTGCAAGTTGCAAATTTCGACCTTAAAGAGAACATCACAGTGCATGTGTCACACAACATAATCACATGCAAAATTGAATTACGTTAGTCAATGAGCTGTTGTAAATTTTCATTTAATTTCATTCAAATTTCAAATTTTCATTCTGTGAGAATGAGGCAAACACTACAATGGAAGAGACTAGTTAACCATCTATATACTTTTATCGACTGCTGAAATAAAGGATGAAATTGAAGGAACAGCTTTGGCCTCTTAATTCTGAAAAGATAGGGTCAGCATAAACATAAACATAAATTCATATTGAGAAAAATTCCAAATGTTTTATCATTACATTCCAGCTATTTTCTCATTACATTGATTTTAGTTGTTTTTTTTTTATATAGAATAAGGGTACCTAACGAGCACACAATCCACCTGTTGGTAAGTAGATGCTAGGGCCCATAGACGTCTACATCGGTCGCGAAGCCTCCATAAAAGCCGAGAAGCCGGGCTTGCCCTATCAAACTGCTCAATCAATAATATCAACAATCTTAATATATACGCGATAAAATCCGTAAAATTAGTTTTATTTAAAAATGTGTAGTGTTCGCGTAAATATAAGAAATCATTAATAAAATAACTCTTAAACTGTTTCAAATTTCCCGCGCGCTCCTCTGTTCTACACAGCTCATTAATCGTCGCGGCAAAACTGCGCGATACTGCTGGCATAAAAAAGGAGTTGAGCAATTTTTAAACTTGGCACCTAATTAGCATTTAAAAAAGCCCCTAATTTTGTTTTTTTTTTAAATGCAAATTCCCGACTTTGCGTTGCTGGCGATACACAACTGTTGCTCTAGGAAAAGGATTATATATTCAAGCTCATAAAGAACAGGTTTATATCTTAATCCCTCAAAAAACTAATTAGACGGCTACTCAGACGTGCGCTCACTCCAGACATATTAGAACACGTAAGTGACATTCTATACTTTCGCGGCGTTTTCATGAGAAATAAATTACCTTTGAAACCGAGTAAGATAGAATGTGGAATATTGAATTTGGACAGCTACAGAAATCCTGGAATGCATTGGGTAGCTTTTCTAAATCACAATAAATACATAGAATATTATGATAGTTTTGGTAATTTAAAGCCACCGTTTGAATTAGTTAAATATATGCGTAACTTACCTATCAACTATAATTATGCACGACATCAAGCGTTTGGCGCTACAAACTGTGGTCATCTTTGTCTAAAATTTTTAAGGTATTACTGGAAAAAGCATTTATATAGTATATGAAATAAATAAACGTATCAGTATAAAAATTTCTTTCACTGTGTCTATAACTGAGACAGGAGTCTCTTTATCAACAAACTATTCATCGACATTGGAACTACTTGGAGACTACGAATGTGCTCTTTTACATTTTTAAACTTTCAATTATATTCCTAATATAGATGAAAGAAACAATAAATTTTATTATGGTGAAAAAGAAATTATCGAAATTCCTGAAGGTCTTACGACCTTCAAGAAATTTTGATTATCTAAAATATAACATTAAGAACACTGTATTAAAACTAACATGTAACAATAATACATTGAAAACAAATATTTTTGTTCTTTTTTTCGCATCGCATCAGGTGAGTCTAATGCTCGTTTGCCGAGCATGCGACTCACCTGATGGTAAGTGACTACCGCCGCCCATGAACAACCGCAACACCAGGGGAATTGCAGATGCGTTGCCGGCCTTTTAGAAAGGTGTAAGCTCTTTTCTAGAAGTATTCACTCCAGTTATTGACGTGCATATAGCATAATATGAGGCATAACATATTAATGGTTAAGTGTTCCTCGCATATCTTAGTTCATGTTCAACTTCAAGTAAATTGAACAATCTTGTTGTCTTGTACCGCTATGGGAAAAGTGAGAGATTCCTGTGTCCAAAAATGGACTGTTCGGCATGTGAAGATTATAGAATGTATTGTTACTTGCTAATGACACGTGCAAAAAGGCGCAAGAAACCATTAACATAACAGTCATGGTAAAAACGTACAAAGAATTAAACGGAGAACCTCAGAACAATAAGAAGTTTTATTGGTCTGAGCTGATTGGTAACTTCTTACAGTCTTCCTTGTGGTCTTGTGGTTGTAGTGGTACTAGTACTAATACTATATTTATAATATTTTAGATACGACTACAAAGCTCGCGTTCGAGCCGAGAAACTGGTGGAGACAATTTACAATTTCACGAAAGACACGCGTCGTCATAACGTAGCGTCTGCAAGTGCTGTGGATGTTTTGAAACAAGAGATGGCGAGATTGAACATCGTGAGAACTCACTTCGAGTTCTACGAATTCTTCCACGACTTCATGCCGAGAGAGATTCGCGTAAAGGTCAGTATGATAATAATAAAAATAATGTCCTCCAGATCTAATTTCTGTCACGGCGCGTGGCGGCCACTCTCTGCGGAGACTAGCCATCTGAGCAGGACGGGATTTTAGTGCCCAAATGTATGGCACAGGTGCACTCTATATTCCCTAACTCTCATAGTCTGGTAAGAAGGCAAAACGACACGACCGGAGGACCGAGACACAGTAACAAGTGAGAATATTAGTGATGCAGTGTTTTAGGAACTACGAGTTCCTTTTTTGAGAACTTTCCAGGCTGAATTCAAGCTAGTACAAGTAGTAGAGTATGCTTATTAGCATTTTTTAAACTAGGTGATGGGGATCCTTTCCAGCCTAGGCGTTTGTCTGAGTAACCAAACATAACTGCTGCAGGGGAAATATTTTGTCATTAAAGTATTAGCACAGAATAAATAATAGTACAAGAACAGAAGGATCGTAAAATTAGCCTACATCGAACCGAAAATTAATATGGCGCACGTATTAAATCAAAATGCTCCTTACTTCCGCGTGCGAGTGTCTGTATCACTTAAACCGTTACGCGCCTTTGTTAAGGCCGCTCTACTGTAGGGTTAGGTGTTGTGAGAAAACAAATTGAATCCTTTGATAACAGTTGGTATATAGTAGAATACACCGAGGTATTATGTAATGTATTAGTATTTTTTTATTTTGTTAAAAAAAACGTTACTCCCTAGGATTTTCTCCTCTATCGTGGAGGCAGTAAACAGACATAAATTGCACAAGGACAAACATCTAGAACCGGAACAATTATTTGAAGGCCATACAAATAATTGTTTCGTGCGGGATTCGAACCCGCGGCCCCAGCATTGCAACTCATTGCTAAGGCACTGCTCCATGGAGGCGTCACTTATCTATTTCACATTTTTTGCTATTTACAAATATGCGACACGCGACTTCATTATTAATAAAAGAGTGGCAATGAGAAGTGCTACTATTTCAATATCTTTCTTTTATCTACCAAGTGTTAAACTAAATACTAGCATATGCTGGTCTTGCATTAGTAGGCAGTCACTATTACTGGGAGGTCTACTTACACTGAGCGTATTTTTAAGGTCATTGGCATTATACGCGAAAAAATCTAAAACTGCAAAGCTGTGGTCGGGTCACTAATCAAATAATAAATCTGTAACTATGGCGTCAGTAACTAAGTACCTACCTAATTGTCTAGATCTACCTATAAATAGTATTATATTACCTTTCGGTATCCTTACGAACAATAAAGAATGAAAAGTTGACATTCCTATTGTTATTTAAGCACCCGCATGCTATGCAGTACCTTTTGGCTTTTTGAGAGGCCATACTTGAATAAAAACTCTATATTTTCACGCCTAAAGCGCGGAGTGAGACAGGCCTGGTATTAGGCATAACAACCACATACAATCTGTTCGAGTGCAGCTTAAAAATTAATATTTTTTGCTTATGCGCCTTACGTGACGTTCAATACTTACTCAAAAATGCCTTCCTTTTTAGAGACGTGATTATTAATGGTATTGCGTTGTAAATTCGCCCTCTATGCATTATCGAAATATCTTTCCTTCTATAGGAGATTCTTATGGACCGAAGACTATAATATTCTTAGGAAATATTTTCACGCATCTTTATGAATATTAGTCATTGATCATCCTAGTTATTGATAAAATTTTCTTACAGGTTGTACCTGATGTGGTGAATAAAATTTCACTGCCGAAGCATGGCGTCTTCTCAGATATCATTCGATAAAAAATGTGATTTAATTATGTTTATTTTATTTTATTAGGTTATTTTTGTTTGAAATGAGAAAATATGAGTTCAATTAAGTGTTAATTTTAAAGTATTATAGTATATTTTAATTTAAGACTTTTTTATTTCTTATCCTTGAAATGAACCTATAGACATTGCAAAAGTTACGAACTTTGTCCTAAGCTGTGGCAGTATTTTTGTCGATCTTAAGCCTTTGACCTAGTTTCACATTACCTACTGTCACAGAAATTTGAAAAGATTGGGATTCAGTGGATATCATCATATCTCTATAATAAGCAACAATATGACATTACTAAAGCAGATGCAAATGGAGGACATAATACTGAATAAAACAAATATGGCGTTCCATATGGAAGTGTGATCCTATAAAAAAAAAGTGTACTCGGTATAAAAAAGTCAAAAGAAATTATGTTGTACTTAAATGACATTTTCAATATGACAAAGCATAAGAATATACTATTTGCTGCTGAGATCTCAATTATATGGACTTCCAGTAAAAAATTTGCATGCTGTGTTATGTATAACCGTAGCAAAACATGCTGATGCTGAGACGTTCTGTAAAATCTTTTAAATACCATGTTTATTCTAAATAAAATATTATTATGTGGGGTATCTATATAGTTTACTCATCTGGTTGGGCTGTATAAATATATAATATTATTATTATTAATATACGACAACATTGAATTAAATGATATATCAAACAAGCGATCAGCCCCGGATCTCTACAACGGCGCCACCTAAAGGGTCCAATTGTGAATCTAAACCATCCATGGTTCAACTCAAACGCACGCAAAGAAATTCATCAAAATTGTTCGAGTCGTTTTCGAGTTTTAGCGAGAAAAACGGACAGCAATTGTTTTTTTACATATAGAGATAACGCTTAATATGCTAGGTATGGTATGAGGTATTAGTACGTGATTTATAAAATGTGGTCTGTTACTAGGAAGAAAATCGTGTATCGTAGTATTTAATCTTAAGTGGAAACATTTCGAAATTGTTGACTGAATTGTTGATCGAAAGGCCCTCGTTTCATTGGAACCATTTTTAATGCAAAGATTTCACTTGTATATGTTGACTCCACTTATAAGTTTTTAAGTTCCAAGGTTAAAAATGTTTATTCAAAGGCTGTCAAAAAGTAATTTCAGCTCAAAACGCTGTATTAGAATTATAAATAACATCCGATCGGACACATCATGCAAGCCTTGTTTTAAGAGCTTGAACATACTTCCTTTTCCCTGCCTCTTATACAACATGTAATAAAAACCCAGTGGTTCCCGTAAGTACGTTATCAGGATCAGTATTCAAACCTATAGAAATAATTTTTTTGTGAGCGTGGTCCTTCCCCGGTCGAGCCGACCCATTCGTGCTACAACTATACTAGTAATATAGCTGCTGCAGCATGGCTCTGCCACATATGAAATCACAATGTGTTGAGAAAACCTATGTAGCTGTTGAAAACGGCTAAATAGAGTTTTTTTTTTATTTACTAGCAAATAAAGAAATTGAATTTGAATTTATACGCGGTAGAACCATGCTACAGCAGTTTTTGTGGTTGTAGCACAAATGGGTCGGATCGACCCGAGAAGGACCACGCTCTTACTACTCACAACAGTAGTAGTGTATCGTGTGGTGGGTATGGAAAACCGGAAACCCTTTTTACTGGCAATGGGCATTCCATTCAGTCTTCCCCGAGAATAACTACACATCTGCATTTTAATTTTTAACCGATGGTAGATGAAGATGTCTGTCTACAGGCCACAATATCCACTTAACATCAGGTGGACAAGCAAAGAAAAATGTCAAGCAAACAGTTTGATAAAAATACAATAACCGGTCGTAAAACGTTTTTTTATTTACCACGTTTCACAACAATGTCATCAACAATCTTTACAAAATTTCAAATCGCTAGCTCATCGGGAAGTTGGTTGAAAATCAATTACTAAATTCACCCAAACAGACGCGAAAGTGAGGTAATCATTGAGTTATATATACTACGTACTAGAGTAGCCTTTCTAAACAAAAAATGTGCATTACTCTATGTCTTCGCGCATGCGAGGGAGTTAGTAAAGCCGCGCATACGCAGTTGATTTCTTATGTAATGTTATGATATTATTACCTATTTATTCATTTGAAGAACAAATAATTTTACTTACTTGACTACTGAATTGTTATTTACGTCCAGGTTTAAACTTTAATTTGAAATCTTGTATTATAAGCGCCGCTCCACACTGCATGTATATTGAAACCACAGAGTAACTAGTAGATTGAAACCACACTAAATGACACACTGTACGGATTACAGCACAGTTCAGTTGAACATAGTGCATGTTCGGAATGCGCAATCTAGTACGTAGTACATATATGTCAATGGAGGTAATAAAAATGTGGTAATAATATCGAATTAACAAAGCATTGTTACAAATAAATAAATATACTTTTTGATTCTAGGACTTGTTTATTTCGAAAATAGTTGGATACAAATGTACACCTATGTTACAATACAATGGAGCACCATACACATAATAAAAATATTGCAATACAAACATACAATAAGTTTTACAAACTGTAGCGTAAATACTGAATATATTAGACAAAAAAAATTGAGAATTCATAGAATATTTAGGGTGAAAATAAATTTAAAAATAAGTATTACAGTTTGTAACACTTATGGTAACACATATACCATTACAATAATTGGGTTGCATTCATATTACTATAGAAAGGCAAAGCTTAGTCTTCATCTTGGAGAAAATTACAATTATTTTTGTTGAGTCATTATTACTTAACAAGTGGAACGAAAACTTAACGGGAATGAAAAATGTGACATAATAAAAATCATTATGTATGCTTATTTTAAATCTTCGCTATTAAACTTAACAATGTATTATGTCAGGGTTTCTCAAACTGGAGTTCGATCATTTAAAATATATAATTGATATTAACTAAATATTTAAAACATGTCAATATTTAAAATAGCAACAATAGTGAGTTGTGTGTAAAAAGTTTTTACATTTGACGGATTTCAGACTAATATAAGCAATTACATTTAACAAAATTATACTAATTTACATAATTCTGTACACATCTTAAGACTAAGGGAGATATTTATTTTATTATATTGCAAAAAAAAGTGCAGCTGCTATAATATAATATTTAAACTTGTGACAAATTGTGACCAGTGGAAAATTGCACTGTCTTAATAGTATTGCGATGTAGTTTTATCCAGGAAAGTCTAATAATCTGTAATGGCCATATACTCAAATGCTACTCAATTTTAAGATGTCGTGAAGTCTCGTAATCTCACAGTCACTTCGACTTAAATTTATAGAGACAGCACGAGACTTAAAGGCATCTTATGATTTGGGCATAAATTAATTATTTTTGAACAAGTATTCATATTTATATATAGTCTTTAGTTAATCGTGTTTGTTATTGTATTGTGTTAAGGCACAATAATTCTGCGAAACGAACGTTGAAATGAAAGTGAGTAAATAGAGCATTTGATACGTAAGAAAACTATGATATAATGAGAAAAACATATAGTAAGATATTGCCATACATGCCAGAATTATCGTGTCTTACCTAATTCGATATTATTATTTTTTGTATACAATAATTATATCAGACCATTTGATTACTTTCACTAATTATAGGCCAATAATATTACAGGGTATATCTATAAACAGTTTTCACTAAAAAATGGTATAAAAGGGGTTATAAACGATTTTGGCACTTGTAAGACACGATAGTGAGGTTAGTAATGTTAAGTTTACTAGGTGCTAGGTTTCTTCTGACTAAAGAGTGTGTTTGGGTTGGTGCCATCTTTTTTTCTGTCACCAAGCAGCTGTGCACCCACTGCTGCGTTTCTGTTCAATGAGTCTCAGACTCTCCAATGTGATTACATGATATGAGATATTTCATGTTTATATGACAACGGTACAGTAAATATATAGATGGCTATACCGTATGTTTCCTTGGTACTTAATTTTAGTATAATTAAAAGTTTTGTTACATTTATTAATACATTGATTTGTTGGGTTTTATTAGGATGCTCAAATAAATAATCGGATTAACCAGTTTTAAAAATGAAAATTAGACTAAACGAAGGTACTTATTGTTTTAATAAGATATAATAACATGGGTTATTAAAAATGCATCATCATCATCATTACAGTCCACCACAGTCCACTGCTGAACATAGGTCTCCCCAATAAATGTCACAAAATACGGTCCTGAACCACTTGCATCCATTGACTTTCTGCATCCCTCAACGGGACGTCACTCCCATCTGCAGGGCTATTCACAATCGTCTCGGAAAGCGAAATCGACTCGGATTCGATAACTTCTCGCACCGAAACCAATAAACGCTATTAACATTTAACGTTCGGATAAAGGTCACTTAGATACATCCTATAACTATTGTATCGTCATTTAGTTACATGCATTTACGAATTTTGTAGATAAATAGGCTTTTGTAATTTTTTAGAGTAACGCCTGCACAAAAACATAATGCAATATTTTGGAGTTATCCATTGATATCGAATATAAAAAATATATAATTTAACTATATAATAAATAACAAAAAAACTGAGATATGTCTCGTTTCTTTCGGGTCTGCAGGGCTATTCACAATCGTCTCGGAAAGCGAAATCGACTCGGATTCGATAACTTCTCGCACCGAAACCAATAAACGCTATTAACATTTAACGTTCGGATAAAGGTCACTTAGATACATCCTATAACTATTGTATCGTCATTTAGTTACATGCATTTACGAATTTTGTAGATAAATAGGCTTTTGTAATTTTTTAGAGTAACGCCTGCACAAAAACATAATGCAATATTTTGGAGTTATCCATTGATATCGAATATAAAAAATATATAATTTAACTATATAATAAATAACAAAAAAACTGAGATATGTCTCGTTTCTTTCGGGTCTGGGTTTTTTTCTATGGGGCGTTCTTTGACGTTTG